CAACCAATCAAAGCTTAATATGCTATTGGTATGCTTAAGGCTGCTCAACTGCTCGCTATGACATGCACTGACCACCAGGGGGCAGATGCTCTGACTGGTAGATTAGCTTGCTGCTAGGGTCTGGCCTATCAGAACTGAGTGAGATGGGCCAGACATGCTCTGGAGTCCTCCTGCATCCCTCCCTGGCCCTCATCATGCACTGGTGGGATCCCTTGGCCTGGCCTGTGCCCTCTGGCAATCAGGGACCCCTTGGGGAATGTAAGAGAGCCAGTTTTGGCTGAACCCACAGGCCAGGCCGAGGGACCCTACTTTTGCACGAATTTGTACACTGGGCCTCTAGTATAAAAATAAAAAGCCTCTGCACAGCAAATAAACCATCAACAAAACAACAAGAAAGCCCACTGCATGGGAGAACATATTTGCTAATGCTATCTCCGATAAGGCTTTAATCTTCAAGATTTACAGGGAACTCATACACTTAACAAAAGAAAGATAAACCTAAATAGACACTTTTTGAAAGAGGACATTCAGAAGGCCGAGAGACATTAGAAAACATGCTCAAAGTCACTAACCATCAAAGAGATGCAAATCAAAACAACAATGAGGTACCATCTCACACCTGTCAGAATGGCTATCATCAACAAATCAACAAACGACAAGTGCTGGAGAGGATGCGGAGAAAAAGGAACACTCGTGCACTGCTGGTGGGAATGCAGACTGGTGCAGCCACTGTGGAGAACAGTATGGAGTTTACTCAAAAAACTAAAAATGGAACTGCCATTTGACCCAGTGATCCCACTCTTAGGAATATACCCCAAGAAATTAGAAACACCAATCAGAAAGGAGATATGCACCCCTATGATCATAGCAGCACAATTCACCATAGCTAAGATCTGGAAACAGCCTAAGTGCCCATCAGCAGATGAGTGGATTAAAAAACAGTGGTACATCTACATAATAGAATACGATGCTGCTATAAAAAAAGAAGGAACTCTTATCATTTGCAAAAGCATGGATGGAACTGGGAGAGCATTATGCTAAGTGAAATAAGCCAGTTGGAGAAAGATAAATATCACATGATCTCACTCATATATGGGATATAATGATCAACATATACTTTAACAAAAATAGATCCAGAGACAAAGAATCACTAAACAGACCTTCCAACCTCAGAGAGAAGGCAGGAAGGCGGGTAAGAGAACAGCCAAAGGACTTGTATGCATGCATATAAGTCTAACCAATGGACACAGACACTGGGGTGGTGGGGGCTTGTCCTGGGAGGTGGGAGTGGTAAATGGGGGAAAAAGGAGACATATGTAATAGTTTAAATAATAAAAAAATAAAGAAAAGAAAAATGCAACACAATTTCTTAGAAATAAAATCAGTAAACTATCAAAAATCTGCTGGCTGGTGTGGCTCAGTGGTTGAGTGTTGACCTATGAACCAGGAGGTCATAGTTCAATTCTGGGTCAGGGCACATGCCTGGGTTGCAGGCTCAATCCCCAGTAGCTTCTAGTAATGTATATTTATAGTTTTTTTTTTGCTTGTCTTGTTTTATATCTTTAAGATCTGAATAGGAAATAACAGTATTTTTATCTAAATAAAAGTACTATCATGTTAGATAATAACTTACTATTTTAATGCTCTCATTCTGTTTGATACACATAATGAGAATAATATATTGTGGACCAATAGGTGGACAAACATTAGTGATATATTTCATATAAGCACACACATATTTATCTTTTACACGTATGTATGACATTGTATTTTGCTAAAGAGCAGCAACTAACATCCAGGCAATCCAGGAGCTATCTAGTACAAAAATCTGGCTTTACAGCTAGAAATTGTTGTGTTGAACATTTCAACAGACAATTGCATAGAAAATGAGACGGGACTGCTCTGCGATCCTGATGAATTATAACAAAAACAAGCTTACTCCATAATTATATTCAAATGCAGACAAAAACATGAACATTATCGATACCACAAACATGCCCCAATCATATAGCTAGTATAAATGATTGCTGTCACTTTTAAAATTTTGGCTTTCACCTCTGTCCAGTCCTGCATCGTTCTAGATAAGATGTATTATGAACCAAATCATATAATTTTTTTCACTTCCTGGCAATATACTAGTGCAACCTAGGCCAGTGATGGTGAACCTATGACACGCGTGTCAGAGGTGACACGCGAACTCATTTTTTTGGTTGATTTTTCTTTGTTAAATGGTATTTAAATATATAAAATAAATATCAAAAATATAAGTCTTTGTTTTACTATGGTTGCAAATATCAAGAAATTTCTATATGTGACATGGCACCAGAGTTAAGTTAGGGTTTTTCAAAATGCTGGCACGCCGAGCTCAAAAGGTTCGCCATCACTGACCTAGGCCAATGTCCCACTTTCTTAAACCTTCCCCCAAATTACATGTCACACCTCAAACCTCAAAGTCCTTTCCAGCACCCTTTTACAGAGGTGCCCCATGGATTTACATGGTGTGTGTTCTCCCTCTGGACAATGAATTATAAACCCAATTTGTTCAACTAAAGGTGTGTTCCTGCTGGTCTTTGTCTGGAGGAGTAGTGTACACATACTCAAATGCAAAAATAAGTTGTTTGTAGTAATTAAGAAAGAGCTGAAATTATATATATCAGAGTCTCTGAAAAAGAAACTGGAAAATTCATATTCTATATATGTAGACTACAATTAATAGTTATTTAGGGAAAATAAAATAAATATATACATCAATGGAGCTTGTTCCTAGCCTAACAAAAGTGATTCTTTCTTCCACTGCATAGACAAGCAGTTAATATTAATTTGTGATATATCAATATATCAGTATCACAAAAAATAACTCTGGAGTTTTACATTTTTGTATAGTTTAAACTAATACCAACTATTAACACAGTGAGTTTTTTTTAATATTACCAAGAGTATTCATTTGTCCTTCCTGTCACTGAAATATCAATCTAACTATTGCCAGTTATTTCAGAATTCTCCTTTAATGAAGTAAACTGACAACTATGACTAATCTGGCTTTTATAACCCATTTCAGTCACCAAAAGTAAGATACATTTGTGAAAACTCTTACATGCTTCAGAGGATCCAGAATTCTCAATGGTAATCATAAGACAAAAGAGAGTGTGTGAGTTATTTTGGAGGGCACCTTGAAATCATTTTAAATTGTCCCTGAAAAACAATCATCTAAGTATATTTATAGTCAACTAATCGGCTTCTGTGACAAGAAAAAACATATTTCAGTCGCAAAACACCTGGTTTTGCATTCCTTAGAGAGAACTGGTGTATAACAAACAAGCCAAAGAATGAGTTACCCAATATACATTTGGTTATTAAACACTTGAATTATCAATGGCTACTCGGAATATCTACTTAGAGTTTCTTTAAACTTTTCATCTAAAAACGAACTAATATAATTTGATTTTAAAATGTGGACACTCTATATTGTAAAATATAGGAATAATTTGACTAAAGTAATCCAAACTCATGAAAATTTCTAGGTTACACATTGGAAGTTAAAATCAATGCCCCCCCCCCCCCCCCCGCCGACTGGTTTGGCTCAGTGGATAGAGCGTCGGCCTGCGGACTGAAGGGTCCCAGGTTCGATTCTGGTCAAGGGCATGTACCTTGGTTGCGGGCACATCCCCAGTAGGAGGTGTGCAGGAGACAGCTGATCGATGTTTCTCTCTCATCGATGTTTCTAACTCACTATCCCTCTCCCTTCCTCTCTGTAAAAAAATCAATAAAATATATTTAAAAAATAAAATAAAATAAAATCATTGGACCCACTAAAAAGTCATATTGTAGCACTCATTTAGCATGGATGGAATAATCTAAGACAAGGCTGAGATTGCAAAAACATGTTTTAAAGAAGTAAATGCATCTGTTACCTGTGCCACATCAGGTAATTGTATCTCCAAATTAAAAAGTATTTCTTTATTACTTGAAATATGTTGATTCTTTAAATATGTATTTAGTAATATGGTATAAATTTAAGTTGTACAATATGTTTATTTGATACATTTTATATATTGTAACATGTTTGTCATTATAACATAGTAACATAGTTAGCACCTCTATCATGTCACATCATAATAATTTCTTTTGTGTGGTAAGAATAATTAAGATCTAATCCAGTAGTTCCCAACCTTTTTTTTTGGCCATGCCCCCTCTAAGCATTTCTAAAATCCTGAGACCCCCTTATGACATAATTCTTATTATTCAAAAAGTGAACTCCTATTCACATAGAGGAAGCCTAAAAGACCATTAACTTGGTCTAAACAAGCTTCTAAAAACCATGACATTCATGAAAGAGAAACATAAAAAAATGAAAGGACAGTTGATGTACTGAGGAAGAAATTACTAAGAAATTGTTAAAAAATAATAATAATACAAAGTGATATTAAAAAATAGCAAATAAAGTTTCAAAACATATAATACAGAATTGCAATGCATAAGTATGTCACAATATATGTTTATATATTATACATGAGTCCCCTACAGCTATAAGAAATGCAAAAAAATCACTATTAATAACTCATTCTCAAATTATCCCATTAAAAATCAAATGGCCCCCCTGTGGGGCGTGTGCCCCACATTGGGAACCACGGATCTAATCTTTTAACAAGTTGGATGCTTGTAATATTTTTGTCAATAGTCACTATACTGTACACTAGAACTCCAGGGCTTATATATCCAAGTTTGTACCCTTATATACATCTTGCCTATCTCTCCAACCCTTCCTCTGGTAACCACCATTTTACTCTGTGTTTTAATGTGATTATTACTGTTTTAACTTGAAATTTGGTATACATAAATTTCAAATGAATGTGACACTATTTTTGTCAGTAAATGGTTTTCATCTTGGAATAGTTATTTTAATTAAATGGATATAACGTGAAAATAATGTCTGGATGCAACTCTAAGACATTGAGCACTCCAAGGAATTTCATGAAGAAAACGATAAATATATTACTCACCGATAGCTTTTGTAAAGGTCAGTACAAGTGGACTTGTTCTCACAAGGATTCATTTTTCAGTCATTGGATTCTTCATGAAAATTTCCTTCCCAACCTGACAGGCATACACACTGGTAGCTCTAAGGGAGTAATATAAACATTATAAAACCTTTAGGTGTGTTTTACTATAAAGCCTAAAATCCAGATATTACTCCTGGCTATTTTGATTTCTTAGACAATTTATACTTTTTACAAGTTTTATATAATGTCAATACATATCTAAAGTTACTTTTACTACAGTTTAAAAACTTTATAAACAGTATTCATTAGTATGTAGTAATTCAATAAATATTTGCAACATATCAATAAAGTCTATATAAGATATTAAACTATTTATTAATTATGCTCACAATGCAGAATTATTGACTTTGTTAAATGTCCTAATATAAAAATAGTGTATTAGTAATATGATGGTAGCAATTTAAACTAAGCTAAATACATAATTCAGCAAATAGTTCACAAGTTGAAAGAAATACAACTACGACAAATGAACCTTCTGTCAGCTTTGTGGCATTAGCTACAAATAATTAACCTAGGTAAATCAGTAATTTTGGTTGATTGAAATTATAAAACCTTTCATATTATTTTTCTAAAGTATAGAAAAATAATATTCAAATACTAAAAGTAAAAATTTGCTCTCACAGGATTGAGAAAACAAACAAAAAAACCTAAAATTACTGTGGAGTAATAATTTATATATTAAATTATTTTAAAAGAATACTTTTTATTCTTTGACAAAACAGCAGGATTTGGGCTCTTACATTTAAAGACTCTAGATTTAGTATTATAAAACCATTAAAATCAATGTTAGCTGTTATCTGGATCTTCACTGTTTAAATCAGTAGCCACTAGCCACATGTGGCTATAGGGTATTGATACGTGACTGGTTCCAACTAAGATGTGCTGCAAGTATAAATACAGATTGGATTTTGAAGATTTAGTGTAAAAATAATATAAAGTATCTCACTAATAATCATTATTTATATGCTGTAATGGTAATAGATATAAAGAGTTAAGCAAAACACTTTAAAATTAACTTCACCCATTTTCTTTAACTTTTTTTTAATGTGACTGATAAAAAGCTTGAAGTATGCAGAGCTCTCATTACATTTCTATTGGACAGAGTTGTATAAATTAGGCCAACTCAGTCCCTTCTTTTGTGAATAGAGTTAAGATGTCCACAAAGCTATATGCACATACATGTGGAGCAGAAGTTCCCTGAGATGAGAGAAGATGTTTAGTTTAATAGATCCCAGCATGTTGGAGAATCCCAGTATCCCACAGATACTTAATATGTTTGTTGAACAAATGAAAACGAATGAATCTAATAGGAAAAATAATGTAAAAACTGCAGTTAGTACCCAAAACAGATTACAAAAGGATTCTATGTGTTTGCTAGAGATGGATAACAAATGTATTTCAAATATTACAATAACCAGAGAAATACAAAAATTCATGTTCCATGCATGTACATTTAAGTTACAATAATTCAAATGCATGAAAGTTGCCACTTAGCAGCACACTTTGGTTTAACAGGGCCAAGTGGTTTTCTATGCCTGTGAACAGCTGAAAAGCAGAGGGATGAGACCCACCACACTGTCAACACTGGGCTTTCTTCCTGACACGTGTTCACTCCCCACTCAGAATACTCATTAATAGTTCCCACAGTTTGCTGAATTTTAGGAGCAATTTTTTTATGCATTTTCACTCTACATTGTTAACTTTTGCGATGAGTGTGTAACATTCCCAAAGATTTCTTGGATTGTATATGGCTTATTGTTTTGTTTTCCTTCCTTTTTTGTGAGCACTAAAAGAGGACTTACATAAAAACTGAACATAATGATTAGATTTTGTTTTATAAATCTTCTATTTAAACTGGAAGCGATTCTACTATAGGCAAGTAAAGAGTGTGCTGTGGTGAATGGGAGGCAACTACCTAATTTAGTGATGGACATTAGGGCAGAGTAGTCCAGAGGACACATAATATAAAATCTGTGGAACAAGTTGAGCTACCCTTTAGTTGTGTTCTGACAATTCACTTTCTAAGAGATATGAATCATTTCAGTAAAAGACAAAAGCGTGAGTTTACTGCTGGTTTTTATTTTAACATCTCAATAATAATTTGAAACAAATTTAGTGATTCAAAAAGCCAATCAAATTTCTTCACTTTTAAAGTCAAATATTCCTTAAAATCTAATAATTACTGGTATTCTTGATGATTTAATAATTAGTAGAAATTATCATCAATTTAATGGTATAATTATCATTATAGTGTCAGATACTAGAGCAGTGATTTCCAAATATGATGGAATAAAAAGGAAACATAAAAAGATGAAGGAAATGTATTTGTTTCTAATGTCAAACATTAGAAAATATAAATGTTGAAAGGGCTAGAAATGAATATTAACTAGAAATAACCCAGAGTTCAAGTATGTCTATTCATTGGTTGCTTACTTGATTCAGAAGCATTCTTCTGAATGTAGACATTCTTAGTGCAAAGCACTTTCCCATTCAGCATTGTAAACTTAATTAATTCCAGTAATTTTAAATAATACTTAAAGCTAAAATACTATTTTTAAATCACATTAGTTTGGAATTAAATAATTAAATTATATTTTGAGCTAGTTTACTGAGTGGTGCATTTAAAATATATTTACTAAATGAACAAAAGTTTGCATAATTTATAAAGTTGGAGCCACATCATATCTACCCCTTAATATAAAGTGGACGTTACTCTTCTTGCCAAATTTGGGTAAAACACTTATCATAGTTTGAAAACATGCAGGTAAGAGGGAGACAGGGAAGACAGCAATGATAGAAGGTGATACAGATCTAGAACAGTAAACTACCCAGCCAGAGACACAGAAGACAAAGCAGTAAGGTTTGGTAAGTACATTGGGATGAACTACATAGTGCTTAGTTTTCAACACCCAGATGTCTTAAATCCCTGTAATCAGTGACAAATATACTGAGGTAAGTAGGATAGACTAATTCTGACTATTAATTTTGAAGTTAGAGAGATGAAATTTAAGCACTATTTTGTTGCTTATGAAATTTATAGACATGTTTGGTGTACTCATTTTCTCTTGCTCCATACAAATTACCACAAATCAAGCAGCTTTAAACAATGCACATTTGCTATTTCATAGTTTCCTGGGTCACTGACCAGGTATGGGCTGTTCGGGTCCTTGCCTTAGAGTCTCACCAGGCTGAAACCAGTGATCGCACCTGAGGCTTGGGTTCTTTTGTAAAGTCAACGGTTGTCAGCAAAATTTCATTGTTATCTATACAACTTAGAGAAAATTAAATTAAATGGGAAATGTAACTCAAATTTAACTTTAGCAATAAAACTGAAGCATTCACAATCTTGCTAACTGTCAGACATGGGCAGCATTCAGCATCCAGAGGCTGTGTTTAGGTCCTCGGCATGTGGCCCCCTCTTCTCCTAGGCTGGCCACTTGCTTCTACAAGTCCACCAGGAGAGGATCTGCTGCTGCAACTTGTCTCTTTTAAGGGCCCATCTGATTAGGTCAGGCCCACCCAGGATAATCTGGCATTTGATAAATCAAAGTCAAGTGATTCGGGAACCTAGTTAAATCTGTAAAATCTATATTTCAAGAAAATATAGGATAACCATGGCAGTGATATCCCATTGTGTTCCCAGGTCTTACGCTCAACAGGAGGAGAGTTTATAGGGCATGACATCCTGGGAGGTGGAAATCTTGGAGCCACATCTATTCATCTACTTAATTTCTCTAAGTAACTTATTTAAATTCCCTAAGCCTTGGTTACCTTCCTATGTAAAGTGCCAATAATACCTACTTCATAAGCTTATTTTGAGCATTTAGTACAGTAATGATTGAAACATGCTTAAATTATGACACAAAATTACCACTAATTAATAGTAGTCATTATCTCTAGGCATACCAGTCTAGATCTGATGAGGTTAATGTATAACTTGCAGAAAGTATAGCAACTGAGTCAGAATTATCCATTTTTATATCATTTATTTTCTTTGCATGAACAATTTAAGCTCCTTACTAGAAGATAAAGATGATCAGACTAGGAAAACAAAGAAGAAAGAAGAGGGGGAATAGACGCTAGCAACATGCCAATTACAAGACACAAACTTAGATCAAGTGAACACATTTCAGAACATATAAGTTAGGAAAACTGATCAAGAAAAAATAGAAAATGTTATTAAACAAATATACACCTCAAAATGCACCAAAGGAGGGAGCTTGATAGTAGGCTTACATAGACTGAATTAAAATTACTTCCAAATCTTTAATTCCCCTCTTATGCCATAGGGTGCAAAAAATAGGAAAACAGAGGAAACTACCCAATTTATTTTTCAGGCTAGTGAAAACTACTTACCCAAACCTGGCAAGCGCAAAATAAGGAATGCGAACTCAGACAATGTCACTTAAGATAAAAAAATAAAATTGAAAAGATAACTTTTAAGTAAATGAATCTTAGCCTGGCCAGTGTGGCTCAGCAGTTGAGCATAGACCCATGAGCCAAGAGGTCGCAGGATGATTCCCAGTCCGGGGACATGTCCACGTTATGGACTCAATCCCCATTAGGGGGCATGCAGGAGGTAGGAGATCCGTGTTTCTCTCTTATTGATGTTTCTATCTCTCTATCCCTCTCTTTTCCTCTCTCTCTAAAATCAATAAAAAATAAAATTTAAAAAAAAGTAATTAAATCCTAAAATGTCTTAAAAATATGGTCTATTATAAGCTGGTAGTTCCTGCCCCCAGAAATAGAATTATGCTTGAAGACAAGAAAATATATTAAAGAAAAAAAATGGTTTGGTCATCTCAAATGCAGAAAATTCAACACACATTTATAAAAATTGTCTTAGCAAATGAAAACTTAATGGGAATGGTCTTATATTAATAAAATATATTGCACTGACCATGTGGCTCAGTTGGTTGGAACATGGTCCCCTACAGCAAAAAGGTTGTGGGTTCGATTCCCAGTCAGGGTCCATACCTAGGTTTCTGATTCCATCCCTGGGGCACCTATGGGAGACAACCAATTGATATTTCTCACCCACGTGGATGTTTCTCTCTCT